TTTCATTGAAAAGCTTACAGTTTCCTTTATAATTGCTGATAGTTTCAAATCGATTTATTAAAAATTAGATTTTAGCCGATTTTTTGAAAACATCGCAACAAATTCTCTTCCCTAAAAAATGAAGGAAGACATTGTTGCGTTTAAAAACATTTTTCTCAAAAACTAAAAGATATTTTCAAAATCGGCTTTTTTCATTAAAAAGCTAAGGCTTTATTCTATTATTCCTCAAAAATGCAATACGATATCGCAAATAATCGATTAATTACGATTTCTTTAAAAATGATTCCATCTTAAATTTAACCTAAAAAGCAAAAAAGAAAATGAATGAACTTTGAAAGTTGATATCTCAAAAACGAATTGATTTTTTTATAAGCGGTCTTTTTCATTGAAAAGCTTACAGTTTCCTTTATAATTGCTGATAGTTTGAAATTGATTTATTAAAAATTAGATTTTAGCCGAATTTTTGAAAACATCGCAACAAATTCTCTTCCCTAAAAAATGAAGGAAGACATTGTTGCGTTTAAAAACGTTTTTCTCAAAAACTAAAAGATATTTTCAAAATCGGCTTTTTTCATTAAAAAGCTAAGGCTTTATTCTATTATTCCTAAAAAATGCAATACGATATCGCAAATAATCGATTAATTACGATTTTTTTAAAAATTATTCCATCTTAAATTTAACCTAAAAAGCAAAAAAAAGTAATTGATGAACTTTGAAAGTTGATATCTCAAAAACGAATTGATTTTTTTAAAAGCTGTGTTTTTCATTGAAAAGCTTACAGTTTCCTTTATAATTGCCGATAGTTTCAAATCGATTTATTAAAAATTAGATTTTAGCCGATTTTTTGAAAACATCGCAACGAATTCTCTTCCCTAAAAAATGAAGGAAGACATTGTTGCGTTTAAAAACGTTTTTCTCAAAAACTAAAAGATATTTTCAAAATCGGCTTTTTTCATTAAAAAGCTAAGGCTTTATTCTATTATTCCTAAAAAATGCAATACGATATCGCAAATAATCGATTAATTACGATTTTTTTAAAAATTATTCAATCTTAACAAATTTGATAGACAGTGGTGGCACACAATTAAAGTAAAAGTCACGACATGCGCTTTTACTTTCAATACCAACTTGACGCCATTTTGACAATTGATTTAAATAAAAAACAGATTATATATATAGACATTATTATACAAATTGTAAGCTTTCTAATGAAAGAAATCAATTTTCAAAATGGCTTTTAGTTCTTGAGATATTAATTAAATAGTGCAATGGAGCGTCTTTTACGTTCCATTCTTAAGATATCTTGTTGCCAGAGATGATAAAAACTGTTGGAACGACAATTTCCCAATCTTCTTAAGTTTTATGTCAACACCTAAAGAAGATTTACGTTGATTATCAGCATAATTTCCAAAAGAATTTTTCCCAACACGATCATTTTGATATTAATCTCACTAATTGTAAGTCACTTCTTGAAACCTGCTTCAATTTTATATCGCTGTATAAAAAGACATGCTTACCTTCACAAACACTTCATTAAACTTCATTAGTGTCCATATACAGTAATTTAAAAACACATTAAAAAGCCATCCAAATATTAGCATAGAAATAAAAATAAACCAGCGTTTTATAATCACGTATTTCTATATAATTATATAATCGCGGAGTGAAAAAAATGTATTTACAAATATTATTACAACGCTTCTTATCGTACGCTTATCGAGACATCGTTCTCCAAACAGAAATAATTTACACACGACTTCTTTAGATAGATCTACCCACATAATTTAACATGCTTACCAAGGAATTAATTCTTTTTCGATTAAATAATAATCCGTTTATTATTAAATATCTCCGAGTACTATATGCTATCGCAGTAATGGGGTTAGGGTTATTTCGTGTCGGCTGTTTATTGACTTGTTAACCCAAATTGCTTGTTTATACTAGACGTTACGTTGCACGGTCGAGTCAAGTAACTGCTCCATACCGCTTATGTACTCATTCAACCCTAACCGACCACGGAAAAGGGTATGTTGTTTACAGATTACGCTCGAGTGTTGAGTTTGTAACTACAGTAGTCCTTTGCAAACACCCCTTTTGAAAAGTTCGTTTTAGTATACGCATACACAAAAAGTTTCCGGGTGTACATTTTCTAAATCGGAGTAGTTGCTTTAAACGGCGGCCGTTAGTTTTAAAGAAATTGTTATTGATTTTCTCCGAGCCGAAAGGAAATAAAAAATGCCACCCTTGGGTAATCCGGCGGATTAATATCGAGAGGGGAGAAACTCCGGAAAAGGAGAAGAAGATAATCTGTGACCTTTGATCTCCTACACCGCGTACGCGGAGTTGCGAGGTATCGATTTGTGAAATGTGCCGTCCTTAGTAATTGAAAAAGTGCCCGAAAACTTCCGGACAAGTTCAAATGAAACAAGGGTAAAACAATCTCTTGATTGCGATGGAAGGACTTTAAAGAGATTTACTAGCCGTCTGATACGGAATTCCATTTCCCTTCACAAGCATGCGTTACGTGACGTAATTTGATGATAAACTCGTACTTATGGCCATGTCAAAAGTATAAAGAGTTTCAACTAAAACTTCCTGTTTTGTACCATAACGTAGTTTACAGTGAGACTTTGTAATCCGTTGAAATACACAGAGTTTGAAATATTACATATACGTGTTTTTGCTGTTTGAGTACATCGTTCAGCAATTTTCCGACACAACACGGTGTTTCCAACTGAAATAACATTGTAGGTCGAGAGATTGTTATCTGTATGCATACCTGCAATCCAATCTAGACGCGAAGGCAAACATCGGTATGGTTGAACGACCGAACCTAGAACAATCGCCTTGTCTACACGCAAACAAAATTTTCCGTTTGTTAAATGAAAAGGTAAACGTCAAAGTGTTTATTGTAAACGAAGCCAGAAACTCTCCTGCTTGATATGCAAATTTAATAAATTATGGTGTAGTGGGTTTACATAGCTACCGATCTAAGCATAACCGCAACAAAGTTCAAGTTTCCTAACTTAGTAAACTATCCACGAAGGTTGTCTTGTTATGCGCAGTTTGCAGCTATTAATTCTGATAAACTCTTTCAAATTTAATAATCGATTTTTGTTTTATTTCAGGTTTTGCAGAATGCGTCAACGTGCACTTCGAGAACAAAGACGGTGGCTTCTTCCTGAAACAAACTTCACGTCATATCCTTCCGAGCCAACCCGATCTTAGCGAAGATAATCCGACCTCGAGATTATCCACTGACCGTTTTACAGTATTCCAAAGTTCTGAACCGATTTCGGTTCGCGCAACTTATGGCCCTTTTAGCACGAAACAGACAGTTCCTGCACGTTACGTCGTCCCCGATCCTCTACCACTTAACGCTACCGGAACGTCTATCGACATTCAAGAATTGGCCACACATCATCTTGACATGTCAGCTCACATCGTCAGAAACGAAATACCACGCGATACTCCCGTTCTTAGAGTGTTATTTCACGCCGGAACGGATCCAAGCGCAAGAAGACAATTGTTAATGGCCAGGCACCATCAAGTTTGTATAGTTTTGCACGCGCTCTTGTCCAATCAAACACCGTTAAGTGCCGCTTGTAGTCCCGATGGTGAAGACGGGGTTTGTTTGGCCCAAATTACGATACCTTCTTTTTGGTGGCCTCCATTACCGACTTTTGATAAATCGGGAAGGCAAGGAAAAATTGTAAAAACCCCACCGCGATTAGTACAAGTTTCTTATTCAATACAAGAACCTAAACCTGAAGATGGGGAAACTTGTAAACCTCAAATACAATTGCAACCATCTACCGTTTTGGGAATGATACCTTTAGTCCAGGCGAAGGCTTCATATAAAGAAACACCACTCGCTGAAGGACTTATTCTATCAGTTCCACATCCTCCGTTATTTCCATTATCTAGGATCCACATTCCGGTGTTTATTGATAGTCAGAAAGCGAAAGGAATATCAGGAGTTATTATAAAGTAAGTATTAACTTTTAAGCAATAAAGTTACCTTAAACCTTAAAATGAAGCGAAAATAACACTGGACAACAAATTTTGGTTTATTTGCTGTATCGTTTTTGAAAAGTACGTTTTTTAGGTATTTTTGGGGTGCTGAATACAAATATGACAATGAAATTTAAAACTTAGTTGCAGTTCTTAAGAACACATTTTTATTTTATTTTTAACAAACTAAAAAAAGAAATAGGTATTTTTACTCTATTTTTGCACTTTTAGACTTTAGTTATAGCGCTGTCTTTTTGCTACTCTTTTGTAGATTGTTTCTGGAGCATCTCTAACAAGAGTCCAGCAGTAGTCTGCAAGCATGGAAGGATTCCACTTTCCCTGGTACCTTTTTTCCATATATGATATATCCTGATGAAAACGTTCGCCGTGTTCATCAGTTACAGCTCCGCAGTTTTCAGGAAAAAAGTCCAAGTGTGAATGTAGGAAGTGCATCTTTAGAGACATATTACAACCCATTTTTTGATACGATAACAGCATATTCTTAACAAGAGTAACGTAATTGTCAGCTTTTTGGTTTCCCAAGAAATTGGTGACCACCAAGCGAAAGTCATTCCAAGCATTTTTTTCAATATCTGTTAAGGTGTTGTCAAATTCTTCGTCCTTCAAAATGTTTCGAATCTGTGGCCCAACAAAAATACCTTCTTTCACTTTTGATTCACTTAGCCTTGGGAATTTCTGACGCAGGTATTGAAAAGCTGGCCCATCTCTATTTAGTGCCTTGACAAAATTTTTCATTAGGCCCAATTTAATATGCAGTGGTGTCAACAAAATCTTTTTATAGTCTACCAATGGCACATGCTGTACATTCTTTTGGCCTGGCTCTAGTGATTGTCGAACGGGCCAGTCTTGTCTCTTGTAATGTAGTGCCTTTGCCCGACTGTCCCATTCACACAAAAAGCAGCAAAACTTGGTGTAGCCTAGTTGCAAACCGAGTAAAAGTGCAACAACCTTTAAGTCGCCACAGATTTGCCATTGGTGCTCATCGTATTTTATGCATGTCAGTAAGTATTTCATGTTGTCGTATGACTCTTTCATGTGAACTGCATATCCAATAGGAATAGAAGGTAGAATATTTCCAATATGCAATAGTAATGCCTTTAAACTCAATGTTGAACTGTCTATAAACAATCTCCATTCCTTTGGCTTGTGGTTTATATTTAAAGCCGCTAGTAAGCCGTTTATGTCATTGCAGAAAACCAAGTTATTCTCCATGTCAAAAAATGGTGCTAGGTTTTTATGGCGTTTGCGAAAAACACATACAGAGACATCGTCTTCTAATAGGTTCCACTGCTGCAATCTTGATCCTAGCAACTCTGCTTTAGTTTTTGGAAGTTCTAGATCCCTCACAAGATCATTTAATCCAGACTGAGTAATTTTATGCGGTTGACGGTGTGATGTGCTCGATGTAAAATCAGGGTCTTTTGATGTTGTAGGCATATCTTCTTGACTAATCTCTGTATCGCTGTTATCTGATTCGCAACCGTATCTTTCTGGGGGTTCTGGAATAGGAAGTTCGTCACTATGGGGTACAGGTCTTATGGCAGATGGTATATTTGGATAGTTAATAACCGACTTTTTTTTCTTGGATATACCTGTGCCTTGCCCAACATGAGGTGTCATACAAAAATAGCAATCGTTAACATGATTTGTAGGCTCTCTCCAGACCATTGGGACAGCAAAGCGCATAGAACGTTTTTTACGATTTAACCAGTTTCTCAGACTTGAAGCACATGAATTACAGCAGATATGGGAAGCCCACTGTTTGTCTTGATCCCCTATTTTGCAACCGAAGTAAAGGTGATATGCAGTTTTTATCAATGGAGTAATAGACCGCTTCTGAGATGCAAAAGTCACTTCACCACAAACGTAACAGAAGTAATCCGGACTGTTTACACACTTTCGAGACATCTTACGTGAATGCTGGCTGGCAACTGAGAAAGTATAGCTGAAACAACATAATTTATACCTGACGTAACACTATCATGCCGATTGCATCATGTGTTCTCACGGAATCTACGACTACACCACGTGCATTTTTTCCAGTTACAGTATTATTATATTTTATTATGTAGGGTCATGTAGCATCACGTATCTCTAAAACGTGAACTAATATTGCAAAAATAAAATTATTTTCGGAGTCAGCGCACCAAAAATAGTAAAGTTTTGTTGATTTTATTTTAGATACTTTTTGGCTGTTGTCCACTGTAATTAATCATTAATTTTAAATGTAGAAAAAAGAAGACGTTTACTAACTTCTTCATTTACAATCATTTTCATTTTTACAACTTGAGCTCATAAAACTAACGATTACGGCATTACAACATCGTTAATGGATTTCTTCTTTTTAATTGTCACTGGCAGCTATTAAATGAGCTTTTTAATTATCTGTTATTTTTTAATGACGATATGCAACTTTTATTGCTAAAAACAGCTGTTATTTAAACTGGATTTGATATATCAACACCAAATCGTCAGCTTTGGATGATTTTAGTGTATAACTGTTTTTTTCATAAGAGATTTTGTGTATTCACCAAGATATATAAGAAACGCAAAATGTGCAAATAAAAAAATCAATTACTCAAAGTCAAGTTAGGCTCGATATGAACTTATGCGGTAAAATTTGAATCGTTTTTTTTTAAAGATCGTTGACAGGTTTTAACTGATTCTCACCCTATCCTAACTGACACGAATTAGTGCGGGACCGGAAACGGACGCGAAATTTAATTAAAGACGGTTTGGTTGTCTGCCACGTAACAGCCTGCCGGCGGTTATTAAAATTCTTTTTCGTGAACCGAGACGTGCCCGCATTTTTCTACAGGGGTAGCTCGCGGCGTCTACAAACTTTATAATAAGCTTTTAGGGCGAAAGGAGGAAACTTTGTTTCAACGCGAAATAAGAAGCCTGAAAATGCGAGCTTTTTTTAAGGTTTGGGTTCCTTTTATGTTTGCTCCACAAAAGAGAAACCTGAAGAAAACAGACCTGTTTACAGCATTTTTTTACCCATCTCACGTAATGATCGCGTTCAAAAAGAATACTACAATATTGATGTATATAATTTTTTGTTACCTCCTTAATGATCTTTGTTATTCTTTGTCACTTAAGGGCTAGAGTTAAAAGCGGAATTCGTCTCTTGGGAGCTGTGGCGACCGATTCTGCGACTTGGAACATTTCGCTGGAGATGAATGGAAGACACACAGGGGCGACGGTGAATGTGCTGCGAAAGGAGCCGCCACCACCCGTATCCGATCCTGCAGAAACAGCGCCGGATACAACTGGACCGGAGTGAGTCGATACATAAATTCTATTTCGCCGTTTCGCGTTCTTTCCAACCGGAAATATCGGGAATTTCGTCTTATTTTATCCTTCCGTTCTCGCATCCGTCTGAGAAATTGCTTCCCTAGTAGAACAAAAAAGTGTACAACACCTGTTTCCAGGTATATAGAATCATACGGGAATATGAATGCTACAAGGATAAGCTGTGCTAAAGATAGAATAAGATATTGTTGTCTACACTGACGCAATTTGTTTGCTCGTTGAGACCACATTTTAATACCCGTGCGACGATAGCAACAAACCTCCCAGCAATAAACTTTTACCCTATCTACTTTTTTAGCTGATATCTTCCTTATAATTAGGGATAGCGAAAAACTAAATACACCACTTGAAAGCTTGAATCTTTCTCTATCTAAAACCGGGTTTTCGTCTGCCGATAAGTTGATATTAAGATCAATAAAAAATGGAGAACACCGCGCTGTACTTAAAATAGCTCAAAATTACCAAATTTCAAGGCCTCGTGCAATTGTTAGGAAACCGAAATTTAAAAAACTGTTATCACAGTCAGAAAGGGCGCTCCTTCAACTATCTTAATCCGCGTTTTCGTCGGTCAATATCTATCGACGTCATGCTTAAATCACCCTTAATGTCCATCCCTACACTACTCCCACTTCCTCTAAACAACTTTCTTATTTGATAGGGTGAAAACTATAGAAACATATCTATCTTATTGAAAATTTTCTGCTCTTTCTAGTGGTGTATAACACGCGGCGATCACACGTTTGCAAACTTACATTTTTGCTAAAAACTGCTAAACTCACACGTTTTAGCCATTTTTAAACCTTGTTCGGGTCGATAACTTTCTTATAAGTTAATTAAGTTTATTGCTACCAAATCAGCAATACATTCCACAAACAATTAAATTTTTAGCAATACTACAATTACATATATCACATTACAATACATTACATTTTATTTCCTATCCTACCCCTCCCCATCTCCTTCCCGCATCTCCCTACGCTGCCTTGTCGCCACCAACTCCCTCATCCATTCTCTTCCCTCTGCCCCCTCCCCCAGCACCTGCTTCCAGCCGATCACCTCCTCTCTTAGCTCGTCACATCAACTTTCTTATATGAGCAGGAGAAAACTCTAAAACCATATCTATCTTATTGAAAATTTTCTGCTCTTTCTAATGGTGTCTTTTAATAACAATTATACACTTTAATTTAACAACAATTATTAATTAAAGATATACGGGATGGTCAGAAATGTGCGTCAAATTTCCGTATCTCAAAAAGTTTATTTTTTTAAATGGCAACTCTACTTTTTTCCCTCACCACCGTATTATATTCTGAAAAATCAGGAGACGTTGTGATTACATCCCATACTAGTAGAGTTACTAGTAAACATACTAGTAGACTTTAAATTTAGTTACTTTACTGTAGACATTAAAATGCGCACACCCAATATCCGCAAAAGATTTGAGGAAAGACATGTTTAAATTTTTGAAAACTGTGTTAGGCCAGGTTTATACAGACGATTTAGCTGTAAATTTAAATTTAAAAATTTAACTGTAAGAGTTAAATGTATTGAAACCCCATGTATTGTTTAAACAAGGCTGTAAGATTTAGCTGTAAACATAAAGTTGGTTAACTTTTCTAATTTTACAGCGTCACACATGCGCAAGACGACCTCAATCAGCTGTATCCAATGATCGACCGGTGTAAATAGCGTGTTCTAACCTAACCTCAACAGTTGTTTATTTCTGTGCCAACAAAATGAGTGAATTCGATGGAAAATTAATTAAAATTGTTGAGAACTACCGATATATTTACGATAAAAAATGTTCTGAACATAAACATAAGATATTGGTAGAAAATGACAACACAAAAACCAGTAATATTTTGTTTCTTGAGATTGCGATTCTGTAAATCTTAAATTCTGTATAAATCAATTTTTTTCTTAAAGCTAAATAAAATCCTTAAATCTAAATCTTTAAATTTAAATTTACAGCTAAATTCTGTATAAACCCGGCATTAATGTCCTTTTCGCGCGCTTAGCGACTCCATTTTGTTGAGGCGTATATTCGACGCTAAGTTGGTGAACTATACCCTCTTTTTCAAGATACTTCTTAAATTCGTTTGAAAGGTACTCTCTTCCGTTATCTGTTCGAAGTTTCTTCATTCGTCGACCAGTTTGATTTTCTGCTCTTCGTTTGTAATTTTTGAATGCTTGGAGAGCATCAGAACGATTTTTCAACATTACTGTCTCTGTATACCTAGAACAGTCATCAATAAAGGTGATAAAATATTTAGCACCACCTAGGGATTCAACCCTCATTGGACCGCAAATGTCCGAATGAACCAAACCTAGAACGTGTTTTTCACGATGAGTTGATTGTTTGAATGGCTGAACATGAATTTTACATTTCGCACAAATTTCGCACTTTATTTCATTCGCATTTGAAGTGAGATTTAAGCCGTTAACCATATTTGCACTTTTTAACATCTTTAAGTCTTTTACATTTAAATGTCCATATCGTTGATGCCATCGAAGCAAATTGTCGGATTGTCTTGCCACTTTTGCACATTCTTCTTTTTGATTTACAACGTAAAGTTGGTCGCGTCTCGACGCAGTTAAAGCAACCGAACCGTTCTTTCTAAATACCGTCGCGTTATTTTTGTCAAACGTTACTGTATAACCATTGTCTGTGATGCACGATACGGATAAAAGGTTATTTCGAAGTTCTGGTACATACAACGCGTTCTGTAATTTTATCGTGTTTACCTTCTCTTTATTTAACTCCGCGCCCAAATGTAAATCACCGTTGCCATCAGATTTCACAAAATTTTTCGCGGCCGTATAAATTTTTATTTTCTCGCATCCGTTCA